AAGTCCAATTTTTAGTTATTGTTTGTGCGTCATGTGTTCCCCACTTTCCTTGTCCGTATTATGTGGATGTGGTTCCCCCAATTGCGAGGTCAGGGAAATCCAGTGAACAAACCATTTGAGTTTTGCTTTTTGAACTTTTTTCAATGCTCAGTCTCACTCAGTATTTACTGATTCGATGTGATTTTTAGGCATTTATTGATTTCGGGAACCAGACCAAATATTTACTGTATTATATACTATAATTTTTATTTTCATATCATATCAAATTCTTTATCAACTCTATTTTTATTGAATGAAATATACAAACCAGGGTCTTCAAAACAAGGATGTTTTTTTAAAAAAAACTAAATAATCAACAAACTTGTAAAAGAATAATTGTTTATGTTGATAATTTTAAAAAGGCAAAATACCTTTGTTTTTTTATTTATTTCAAAAAATCAAACGACATTTAAGTCTTATTTTTATAACTCATCGAAATTAAAAGTGTAATTCAACTTTTTCATTGTGTCGATATTTTTGATAAGTTTTATATGTTAATCAAAGTTTTTTTTATTAACCTTAGGAAGAGAAATCTCGATATTTTATATCAAGATTGAATATTTATTATTAAATAGCTTTTTTATAAATTAAAAAAAAATAAAAATAAAAAACAACAAAAAACAAAATGAAAAAAGAAGAAATGGAGGAGTCAGAAAGTTGTGATTGTGACAATGTTTTAAGCGACAAAAATTACGAAGAAAATTATCAGGATGAAATTGTCGATAAACATGAAAATTGTGTTAATCCAAACTGTCAATTGTGTTGGGAAAATGTCAAGTTTACAGAAAACGACGTTGATTCTATAAATTTTTAACGTGATAAAAGTGGCAACATGAAATCAACAACAATTATTAACACGGAACTTGACTGCTTTATGTATTTGTCTAATTATAAATGCTTCGAGTTAATCAACGAAAACACATACTTGTATGCTAATCAGAAAAAAACTAGAAAATGGTATCCCATTGATGTCAACGAAATAAAAGCTTTTATTCATGTGGCAATAAAACAGTGTGTAAATAATGATAATAAAAAACCAATTCAAAAGAAGTTTCACCCTTTTACCTTGCTATTTTTCTGGATATTGTCACGATTGCAAAGAAAAAAACAACCGCTTGTTGTGACATTTGTAGTGTAACCTTATCCACTTGGTCATGTAGTGATTACAATCGCGTTTTATGTGGTAAATGCTTAAAAAGATAGCTTGATTTTATTGTTATTCATTTTGTTTTTTATTTTTTACAAAAAAATCTGGATAGAAAATATCCAGTTTTCCCTTTCCAGCAAAAAAAATTGGCAAAAACGAGTGACTTCCTAAGGTTAAATAATGCAATGTTTGAAACAAGACATTTTCAACAAGTGTGTTGTTTCTGACTCATTGGTGAAATTAAAATATAAAAGTGTTGTTGTTTTATAATTATTGAGTACATCAATCGTTATTTTTAACACGACTTTTTGAAAATATTTGCTGTTGAAATGTGATTATTGACTGATTAGAATTTGTTTTTAAACATTGTCCCAATCGCCAACGTTTTTATAAATATAAAAAATACTCAAATAATGGTTAAAAAAATCAAAAAATAATTAAACAATTTTTTTAATGTATTGTATAGAGTCCTAATACTTTTCAAGTCTTTTTGGCAAATAGACTTAGGACAACGTTTTCTTATAAATTCAATCTGTATAATAATACATAAAGTCAATTTATCTGTTCGAAAACGTTATTTAGTAACTTTTTTAAAATAATCAAGCAGTTCGTTTTAAAAACTTTTCATAAATTATAATTTCATTGTTTCGGTTTTTTTTATTTTGTTTGAGTTGAATTTACACAATTCACATTATTTAAATAAAAACACAATTTTTTACTTCAAAACAAGTAACTGTGTTAGTTTGACTTTATTCGGTTCATTTTTATTGAAATATAAATAAATTCGGCTTCAAAAAGTTATACTGAAATATATAAGGTAAGGAATTTGATAGTTTTATATTAAGTGTCGTTTTAAATTATTTTGCCATGTGTTTACCACTTTCTTTCTTAAAAGGAAATAAATAGGTTTTATTTTTATTGACTAAAAGAATAATTTAATGTAATTTTTGGCCACATCTAAAACAAAATAACTGGAACTTAAAAGATCATGTGTTTTTATTGTAAGACAACCATTAAACTAAATAAATACATGATATTTCAAGTTAAATTTTATAAAAAATGATATTTTTGTCAATCAATAGTGATCAAAAAACTATTGTTTTTTTGTAAAGAAAATTGGGTTTTAATTTTGTTTAAACCACGTTTCTAAGTTGAAATTCTAAATACCTATTGTAAGTAACTTTATCGTCTTCTTTGAAACCATATTTTTGTATCAGATTATTTTTAGCTTTTTCCACTTTTTTCTTGTCGATATGCGGGACGTTAAGCCAACTAAAAGTAACAGTCTCTGCAATTTGATCAACGGAAATATAACCATCGTTGTCAGCATCAATACATTTAAACTGAAATTCGACTTGATCTTCGTTGTGTTTTTCGTATAGTTTCATTGTTTCCGCTTTTTGTTTTTGTGGAGATATCCCGTGTTTGTTATGCACACTTGCCAAATTTTCGCGAAAAAGTTCCATTTTTGTGAAGTATTCAACAAGAAGAAGTGCGGCTTTTTCATGAAGTATTTCAGCCTTTTCGTCACCTTCCGCTTGGAAACACAAAATTTTGTATGATAAAAGTTGTGAATTTTTTGAATATTGAGAAAAACGTGGTTCGACATGTGACTCAATTGAATAGATTATTTCAACCATTTTTTCAATACTTATCGAGTTATCAAAATTTTTATTATGGTTGTACATCATTTGGTAGAGCACATAAGGTTTCGGCTTTGACATTGTGTTTTAATGTTTAAAGATAATAATAGTTTAATAATTTTTATTGTTTATTATAAATTAATTACATTAAGTCAGTTGAAAATGTCTGGTATTTTTGCAATTTATAGTAAAATATAATATTGTTATGAGTCAAATTATTTTGTATTGTTTAGAAAACATAAATTAAAATAACAATAAAAAGGTGTAATAAAATTATTTATTATTTCGGGAATTAACAACTTATTTTATTATATTTAAATATAGTAAAACAAACTATATTATTGAATTATCTTAATAATCAATTATTTACCAAGTACAGAAAATACATAAAAACATACAAGTTTTATATAAAATTATCTTTCGTTGATTTACCACGTCTAATTTAAACCTTTGTTGTTCTGTTTTATTTTCTAAAACCATTAAACAGACTTATAAACATCATTCATTGAACTCATTATGTTACACCAAAATTAGTCAATTTACATTGCAATTTTAATAAGAAAATTGATTGAAAAATATCAAATTTTATAAAATGTAAACTTAAGTTACAAATCAATTTAAAATTTGTATGGAGATTGCATGTGATGGTGATGTTAAATAATTATAACTCCAATTTTGTTCAATTTCTTGATTTTTAAATAATTGATATTGTATCCATTAGTTTTTAAAATAAACTGTTGTTCAAGAGTCTGTATTGCCGTATTTTTAACACTTCCTAAAGTTGTGGTTTTAATTTATTATTTTTTATAAAAAACAAAAAATTAAAAGTACAGACTTTATTTGGAAAAAAATAAAATCTCCTTAATTTGGTTTACTCACTTTTTTATTCAATACAATAACAAATACGATAAAAACAATAAATAAATTTGAATAATATATTCAATATAATTTATAAGTTTTTGCAAATGTTTTTGTTTGGCTCTTATAAAATCAATTGCATCACCTTAAATACAATGCAAACTAAAATCATTTCAATAATAATTTTATCGGTGTGTGAAGTTATAAAAATAGTTTTCCATAAATGTTCATTTTTCTTTTTCTTGTTTTTAGCAAAAAAAATAAAAAAATAATTAAAATTATATCATAATCAACAATTAAGATAACTGTCTTAAAATATTCTTTTGTTATTTTAACGAAATCAGTTGTGACACATGTAACCGAAAAGAAAAAATAACATACTGGATAATTGCTTAACCGTCAAACTGTTTAGAATAAAAACAAT